AGCCGAGGCAGACAGTCCCGGGACCGTGGTGTGCACGCCATGGAGACCAGATCCGGGCTCGAGCAGCAGGTAGCTGAGCTAGTGCAGACATTGAAGTAGCCCAACAGTCTGATTCCGGGCAGAGGTTTGGCTACACCTCCAGTAGCTCAATGTCAGTGGTGTGAGAGCTCCAATCACCTAGTGGAGGACTGCCAGGCTATGAGGGAGTCTACCACACCCCAGGAGCAGTTGGCATTCATCGCCAATGCGAGGCGCCTCGATCCAACAGTAGCACATATAATGAGGGGTGGCGCCAGCATCCCAACTTTGCCTGGAGCAGCAACACCACTAAACCACCTGGTTTCCCAGCACCAGCAGGTGGTTTTCAACAGAGGCAGCCCTACCAGGCTCGATAGGGGCTAGTTCCACAGCAGCCATTCCAGCAGCCCCAGCGCCAGTTTGCCGAGCCAGCAGCAGCTACAGCCCCAGATGACAGGATGACGAAGCTGGAAAACATTCTAGCTTCATTCATGACGAGCACTCAGGCGACTATCACGAGGTTGGACCAGAGTGTAGCCTCACTGGAGGCAGGTCAGAGGAACCAGGGTGCCATTTTGCAGGATCTGCAGACCCAGGTGGGCATATTGGCCCGCCAGAACACCACCAGGGCACCGGGGACTTTGCCTGCCACCACTGTCCCGAATCCTCGAGATCCTCATCAGCATCAGCAGCTGGATGCCATTTTTACCAGGAGCGGTAAGACCATATCTGCTGATCCTGTCTCGGCCAGACAGGAGAAACCACTGACTGCTTCAGCACTTCCAGCCGACGATGCAGAAGTGCGGGTGGAGAAGGAAGCCCCTGCTCCCAAGCCACAACCAGTGGTTAAGGAGCATGTACCCCAGCTTCCCTTCCCCACTCGCCTACACAAAGACAAGCTGGAGACTGAGTTTGCCAAGTTCATGGCAATGTTGAAGCAGCTCAACATCAGCATACCGTTCATGGAGGCACTTTCGAAGATGCCCAAGTATGCCAAGTTCATGAAAGATATCTGCACCAACAAGAAGAAACTTGGGGATCTTTCGACAGTAATGCTCAGTGAGGAGTGTTCTGCTATCCTGCAGAACAAGCTTCCCGAGAAGCGCAAGGATCCAGGGAGTTTTACTATCCCTCTTACTATTGGCAGCATGCATGTAGGAAAGTCCTTGGCAGACCTAGGCGCTAGCATTAACGTCATGCCATATAAGTTGTATAAAATGCTAGACCTAGGTGAACTTAGCCCTACTAGGATGAGCATTCAATTAGCTGATCGTTCTATTGTGCATCCTAGGGGAATCATAGAGGATCTGCTTGTTGGTGTTGGTGCATTCACATATCCTGTTGATTTTGTTATTCTTGATATACATGAGGATGTGGATGTGCCCTTGATTCTAGGTAGGCAATTTCTTGCCACCGCCAAGGCACTAATTGATGTGCATGATGGTAAGTTGATCTTGCGTGCTGGGGATGAACAGGCTACTTTTTCTGTGACTGAGTTTGATCACTGTGCTATGATTGCTGTCACGCCTGTGCATGCTATGTCTGATCAGGTACACGAGTCTGTCGTGTACCCTTCTGCACCTCCTATTTTGCAGGACCCTCCTATCATTCCTTCGCCGCCTCTCCATCCAGCCTCGCCTCCGAACAAAAAGCTCAAGGAGGAGTGGCGGCCGAAGCAGCAGGTTGCTAAGCCTGCACGGAAGAAGAGTGGAGACCACTATGAGCTGGTCCCACCTCCTGCACCACGACCACCCTGGCCGCCTGGGTACTCGCTCGCCTGCATCTTGCCAGATGGGCAGGTCAAGCTGACTGATGATAGTGGTCGCATCCGTCGGGTGCATGGCCACAACCTCAAGCTGTACCTCAAGAGCGACGTGGATCCGCTCTTGGAGGCACCTGCTTCTGCACCGCCCTGAGTATCCACCATGGGCGTCCAGCTAAAAGACGGTAAAGAAGCGCTTGTGGGGAGGCAACCCCACCAGGGTTTGATTTTCTTTCTTGTGTTTTGAGTCGGATTGTAACCCAGTTTGGGTTTGGTTTGTTTTTTTTGGTTTGGATGATGTTTTATTGGGCTGACCATTGGACCTAACATACTGTGTTTGAGCTCTTTGGTTTCCTTCGGCTGTGCTTGCCCCGACTGGCCCGTTTCCAGTCCCCTGCAGTCCGTGCATACCGGTAATATCTTTCCCTATCCCTTCCCTCTTCTCCATTGAGGGCAATGTCGATCTTAAGTGTGGGGGGGTGTTTATCTTTTGACTGCATTAGATCTGTTTGTGTGCTTGGAGCCTAGTCCACTGTCCAAATTTTTAAATTTGAGGGCTCCAAGTACGTGTTTCCTTGCAATTACCTGCTCAGTATGCTTTGAATTGATAGTCTTTATAGTGATATGCAACCTAGGGAGGTAGTGTAGCACTATGGAGGATGTCGATGCATTTAAGAAGTCTCATTTCTTCTTCATATTGAGTTGGTTGATTGAGTGAATTAGTGATCTTAGGACCCTTGAATTGTGTGGTGTTGTGGATTCTCTGCCTGTCATGGACTCTTGTATCATGTTTTGAAAATAACAGGTGCTCAAAAATGTGCTTCAAAATAAACGTCTCCCGTGCGAATAGGGCGAAAGTGTGTAAGGGGAGACGGGAATTCGTTCCCAATTTCCACCTACTACCTCCAGCCCCCTTACATGTCTTTCCCCCGCACGGGGCTCGAGACATCCGCTCCTGGCATGGCCGGTAAGAGCAGGTTGGGACCCTTGAAAAAGAAAAAAGAAAAGAAAAATAACAGAAAACAAGCATAATAGAAAGAAAAGGGGTTCCAACCATCCTTAAGCAGAAAATAGAGCACCTTGAAAAATGCCGAAGAAGTTATGAGATGACTTGTGCGTCGGTTGACCTCGTAAGTTGCTAAATGATCTAGGAAGTCCTCTACCTACGATCTGGGTTGTTTGTTGCTATAGAGGTCTGGAGAGTTGCATTGGTTTGAGTTAGGTTTGCTTGGGGACAAGCAAACGGTTAAGTGTGGGGGAGTTTGATAGACCGTTAGTTACACATGTTTTCACCCCTGTTCTTACACCGTTTGAGATGTGGTTTCTCGTGTTTTAGACCGATTTCACGCTAGGTTGTGCTTGTTTGTGATATTTCAGGTCCTGGCAAGTGAATGAAGGTTTAGGAGCGAGTTCGGGGTCGATTGGGCGAAGATCGGGCGCGAGGCAAGTCACAAAGGAGGTCACACGGGCTGCCCTGATGTTCACACGGCCGTGTGAAGGAATGGCCTGGCCGTGCGAGTTTTGCCGAGAGCACACACGGGCAGAGTAGACAATCCACACGGCCGTGCAAGTGGCCGGGTTGGCCGTGCCACATTCTGCGAGAGCAAACACGGGCAAGAGGGGATGTCCACACGGCCGTGCCATTCTGGCCGTGCAAAGAGCCTGGAATTCAACTAAGTGATACGCTACGTTTTGACTCACACGGGCAACTGGGTGAGCTGCACGGCCGTGCCACCCTGGCCGTGTGAGTCGGGGTTTTCTCCTTTTAAGCAGATTTCAGCCACAATTCGAGGGGATTCGAGTTTTTGAGAGAGAGATCAGTTCCTAGAGAGAGAAAGTGACGAGCAAGAGTTCCCAACTGCCCTAGATTGATCTTCAACACCATTGGAGGCCAGCTTGAGCTTGGAGAAGTGCCAATCAACGTCCAGAAGCAGGAATCCATCCTTCGCAGTATGAATTCCGTGTCTGATTCTGCTTTTGCTTTCTTCTCTATGGAGTAGTTCTCCCATTCATCTGGGTATGGAGAAACCTAGATTTGTATGTTAGACTTTGATTGTATGAACCCAAGTACTGATTCTGTGATTGATTATATTCGATTGAGGTGTTAATGATTGAATGACTTGAATCCTGATCAAATTCCTGTTGTTTCTGCTTTAACCTAGAATGAGAATATCTGCCTAGGTTAATAGAGTATCCTTGATTGAAGGTAGGGAGTTGGTGACTTTAGTCGAGGAGCCAACTCACTATTCTGTACCGGATTTACCCCGGTAGTGGAGGTTTTGTTCTTAGGGCCTCAATCTGTATACTCCAGTGGAGGTTAGTCGCCCGCTGGAGATTCAGATTGAGAGGGTCTGAAGACCTTTAGTCGAGACTTCAGGCTGTTTAAGAACCTTCCGCAGTATAATCTTCATAGAAACTGAACTTGGTAATTACAATCCGGCTTAACTGCAGTCTAGGGGGAACCATATCCGGGTGACCTCTCTTAACTTGAATACAACCGTTTACCTGCTTTGCTTTGTTTGTTTGGTAGTTTAGACTTGCATTCTAGTTTCATTGCTAGATAACACGAATTCACTGAGTAGTCATCATATCTAGGACCCGGGTTGATAATTAAACCCAAACCTGCTATACTACGCTTTAGGAAGTGGTTACACTTGGCCAATTCCTAGGGTGACAGTAGAGTCGAGTCAGCCATCCTTGGATAATTTCAGAGTGACATAGTTGGCATCTTCCTCAAGAATGAAAATGTGGTGTTATGTAGTCTAGCAAGAGCCTACATAATAGTTGACCTTATTGTCGATCCACAAGACCCTTCACCACACTCCAATCGACACAACTTCACTTGTTGACAGTTGACACAACTGCTGAGCTAGCAATGTTGTTGGAATCGCTGTGTTATTGAACTCGCAAAACCGTTGAACGCGCGACATTAATTCGATGTTGTTGACCTCGCATCACCGTTAGTATGTAGTATCTAAGGCCAAATTATTTTTAGGTGTAAACAGTATCATAGAAATAATTTTATAATTTGAACTGCTATCAATTTAATTACATAACAGATACTCTTGTCTAACAAGGTTTCTTTGGATTTCAAACAGAAGAAAATTTTTGAATTAAAAAGACAGAATAAACTTTAATGGATTTAATGGGAAAAATAACTCTTGGATTTGAACCGGTACAATAAACTTAACTTATACAATAATAAGGGAGATTTTAATTTCATTACAGTAGTGAATAGTTAATATTAGTATCAGTCACCATAACCGAATAGTAACTAGTAACAATTAGTAATAATAATTAATAAAAACTTAACGTTCGCTTAAGCTAGAAAGAGAATATCACCTGTGTATATTATTGGACTACAAAAACCTTGGCTCTTTACAAATTCAGAGCACAGAAATTTGAAAGAAGTAGAAGAAGAGGAAAAAAACCTGTTGACAACAACGAATAAGCAGGCAGCTAATTAACGAGATATGGAGGCAAGGAAGTTGTCTATAACGGTACTTGTCATGGCAGTAGTACCCTTGGCAGCTGTATTAGCACAAACGGAGACAATACCGCCTGTCCAGCCGATCTACGATATAAAAGACGGATTCTACAAGGAAATGGCAGAATTCGCTGTGCGGGAGAACAACAAGGCACATCCCCATTCCGAGCAGTTGAAGCTTGTGAGCGTGGACAAGGGTTTTCGTTTCCCTTTCAATGTTGGTGAAGTTCATTATCGTCTCTATATAACTTGCTCTGACCGCCAAGGTCGTCAAGCCAAGTACACCACATTTACCGCTTATCGGATCGACCAAATACCTACTTATGCTCAATATTTTAACCTCTTCTCCTTTAAGAAAATCTAAACACAAAGTTGGCTAGTTATATAACTATGCATTTTTTGTGAATAATATGCATCAGCGCCATCGTATATATCCTATTATGGTATTATGATGATGATGATGATGTTACCTTGTTGAAGTTTATATTATATCCGTTCCTGTGGGATTGTCATTGTATTTTAATTGGGACTTGGGAGACATCAAAACAATATAATGCACTATTGTTGGTATCATAATCTCTTGCAATAAAACTTGATACCCGGAAAAGTAATAACGCGAGACACAGATTTTACGTGGTTTCCTAGTTCGTCTACTGCTAGCGGCTCAATCTCAGCCGAAGCTACTATCCTACCCTTAAATACTCCACTCGAGTAATAGGGTTAGCTAAGGTAAAATACAACTTAGTCTTTCAACAATAATAAGAGTACAAGAGGGTATCACACGTATATCTGGCAAATTACAACCCGACCCGTTGACCTGAACCGAAACCGCCCAAAAAGTAGAAATTTTTATAACCCGAAATCTGAATGACCCGAACCCAATAACCCATGATTTTTTGGGTCGAGTTGGATAGGTTAGACCCGTTATACCCATTCTATTTTATATATCACTCCCAAAATAATAAAATCACTCATAAAATTGGTGAGATGTTTAAACAAAGTGATAAGGATTGAATGCCATATTTGGAGTTTAAGTATAATCAAATATCATGTGATTCTTGTAGTAGTATTCCTCTTGTGATTGTTTTTTGACGATTTGCGCAATTTGTATTTCATTTCATTAGCGTCGGAGGATTTGAGAATATGTTAATTGACATGGATTAGGTACACTATTGTCATGCATATGTGAAATGACTTGTAACCCGAAATTGTTTCTGAGAGCGCTCATAACCCGAAATGACTTGTAACCCGACCCAAAACCGAATGTATTGGGTCAATATTTGACTCGAAATCAGCCAACCAAACATGACCCAACCCGTAACCTGAGTCCCCAACCCGACCCAATTGCCAGGTCTAATCACACGTTTCTACACTTGGGCTATGACCTACGTAGCTCTTGCACCATTTTCTTTATCAGCCCAAAAAGGAAATGCAAAATTTGCTTCTTAACACAAACGCCAATTAAACTGAATTCAGTTATCAAACTCCCTCCTCGTCACCTTTATAAGTTACTAGTTTTTTGGTCCGCGCTTCGCAGCGGATAAAAAACTAATTATACTAGGTGGCGATGCCGCGCATTGTCGCGGGCGGAGATGGCCTATGGGCAATGTATTATGTGGCTCATTATGGTGTTTGCTTAATATTAGCCTAAAATTAATGTTTTGTTAGCAGTTTTGTTAGTAATATGATTTGACAATATGATATTGACTGAGAAGAGATATAAGGCGGTCAACATCCAATTTATTAATTTTTGAAAATTTTGGCTAATAAATGATATTTACCTAAACCCAATTAGATTCATTGATTATGGGTAGGGTATGGGTGACGTATATACGGGTTTGGAAGTTTGTAGATGGGTTTGGGTAGGGTATGATATTTACTTCCATAATCTAAATGTGTATGAGTTGGGGATGGATACTCATTTATTCAAGGGTATTTTAAATACACATACAAAAACTAGTCCTATTTGTAGAACATCAAAAGTTTAAGTATCAAAATGTCATCCACAAAAAATTTAGGTACTAAAATGCAATGATCCATTAATAGTTTGAGGACTTATTGAAAAAAAAAATTTGAGGACTTATGTGCCAAAAACATAATTTTAGATTATAAATCGAAAGATATATTAAGTTAGATACTGAACTGTAATTCCTTTTACGATGATGTATTTAAAATGATAATTATTTATTTTTTTGTAGAAAAATGGAATATTTTATTTGATATGTAGATACCTTGCCAAAAATTCCATGTATAGTCGTTGATGATTCTAGCCCGGGTGAAAAAGAAAAACTCTAGATAGAAGTAAAAGGATACAAACATAACTCGTTCATAATTCCACGCCTTCAAATCTCATAATGGAAAATGATGACTTTCTAATAAGTAATAAACATATATATTTATTTTTAATTGCACTCGATATTGAGCTGAAAAAGTTAGTGGTTCATGAATCAATTATTAACTGTTGGTGAGTCATGTAGGAACCCTATCATACTTGTGATTAGAATACATAAAAATTGTATACTAATTAGGGTTAGAAGAAGAAGGTAAAGAAAGAAATAAAGAAAGGGTTATAGAAGGCGAGTGAAAAATGAAACAAAGAGTATGTAGACGATGGAAAGGTTTTGACCAATTCTTTTAGTTGGCCGTCAATGCATTAGTAAACCATTTTCACCGTAGCAATTTATTGACACTTGGTTATGTAGATGTCGCATATTTTGTTACATGTAGTTAGTAGAAGTTTGAAAAGTACCTCGTAAATGTACTAAATGAGTTTATAAAATCGCTCTTGCAATATATTAGAGTCGTTTATCTTTATTATTTATTTAATGTTTCACGTAATAAGCAAATATAAAATGACCGAATCTTCTCCTACAGTTGAGTGATACATGGTAAATACTAAATTTATACTTATATGTTATAATGGATTGGATTGCATGATTCGTTCAAAAGGATTGGTGAATTGGATTCATGGATTCATGTGAAATCTAAACTTTGGACCCATATGTAATATTTTTAAAATTGTAGGTACAAAAATCTCATATAATTTAGATACCAAAACATAATTGTTCAATGACTTTACATTAAAATTAAATTTGGGGCATCAAAATGTAGAATGTACATTATAGTGACTAAGTTGTAATATAATTAAATTTGGGGTATCAAAATGTAAAATGTATAGCCGCCCAATCAGCTAGTGAGTTTTTTTTTATAAAGGCGATATAAGTTTTATTAATAAAAGAAAGGAAAGAAAAGGAGACAACAGGGGACAGCTCGAGCATAGGCTTAGGTACCATGGCGCACACTCCACCCGAGCCAAACCAAGCGAGAATCAGCTGGTGAGTTTAGTGGACAGTAATCTCACTTCTGCTTTATATATATTAATTTATAGCTTCTGAAATCAAATAATTCATAAAATTGTTGGGATAAAATATATAAATAAGCCTTAGGTGTTGTTTTAATCATTTATAGCCACATACGCCATACGCTTACATAAAAAATGAATATATCTTCATAAGTTTTACGTAATGTCTTAATAATTACGAAAGACTTACATACATGTTTGTTCAGTTGATACATAAGAAATAATTATCCTTCCATAAACTTTCCGTAGTGTCTTAATTATTATGTAAGTCTCATGTAGTATCTTTGTTTAATTGACACATAAGAATAATTATCACTCCATAACCTTTACATAAAGTATTTGTAATTTATGGAGCTATTATAGAATGTTATTGCATTAATCTATCATAATTTATGACATAAAAATAAAATTAGAAAGTAAACATTTGATTAAATTGCTATACAAAACAACTGATTTTATATAATATTAGACTAGTATAAATAATAAAGAACTTATGATAAAATTGGATAAATGAGATAAAAACCCCTTACAGAACAGTACACCCAGCTAAAAAAATATCAAATGATTCTGTAACAAAGAAGAATAACTCAGACTAAAATTAATAAACAATGGCTCTTTTCTTAAAAAATGAGGTTCGGGAGATTTTATCGTAATGAACAGTGAATTTGTTTTGGGTTTACATCAGATTTTAATTATTATATGTAATTTTAATTATATAATAATAATAATAATAATAATAATAATAATAATATGGCTATGTGTTTTTAAATTATGTGTAAAATGGCTAGTTGAGGTGATCATGTTTGAACCAGTAAACCTTCAACCCGATTGCTTAGCTGGGTCAAGGTCAGAATTAGATCAACAATCTGGGTTTCCAACCGTGTAAAAGAGAAGGTAGGATAGCCTTTATCATGCGTACCCCAATTAACTTTGAATTAACCATACCTTTTCTTTTAAGTAAGCTAGGTAATTAAGAATGAATTAATATTATAATTTCTTGACCCGCGAGTTTTACTTTCTTCTTAATATAGCTTGCATAGATTTTTATTTATTCGTATCTTACAATTACGTTTATGTGCATCATTTGAACCCAAATTTCTCCCAAAAATGGGCGGAGTTAACAGAAACAAAGGCATGTGAAGTAGGCAAAAATGTCACTTTTGCCTTAAACCCAATAACTAGGTTGGAACCGCGCTATTGGCACGATAAAATTGTAGAGCAAGGACATGTCTACATATACACTCTACATAATATATACTATTGGCACGATAAAATTGTCGTCTCATTTCAAATTTCCTACAACGAGAGCAAAAGTATAAATGACATTTTTGTCTTCTCCATTGTTTATCTTTATTTTGTATAGATAATAGACAAGTATTGGGATTTGAGCTAATGTATCTTCAAACACAGACAAAAGTCATAACCAAGATTTTCAATTCGAGTATGACTTTGTTGGTCTTCAGTCTTCACATATTTCAACATAACTTCTTTGTGCTCCACACATTCTCTCAACAAATGATATCTTGTATCAATGTGCTTACTGCGATCATGAAACACCAGATTCTTTGCTAATGCCAGGGCAGACATGTTATCCATAAAAATTTCAGTCGACTCTTCTTGTGTCATGTTCAACTCCTTCAGCAACTTTCTGAGTCATCGCATGAGACGCACACGATGTAGCAGCAACATACTCAGATTCACTAGTAGATAGTGACACGATAGCTTGCTTCTTTGAACTCCAGGTGAAAGTTGTATCCCAAAAAAATTACAAATCCTGTAGTGCTCTTGCGATCATCCATGTCTTATGCCCAATCACTATCGAACAATCCAACCAATTGGAAATAATCCGACTTAGTATAAAACAGAACATGAATTATTGTACCTTTAATGTAGCGCAAGATCCTCTTGTCAGCATTCCAGTGCGACATAGTTGGCGTCTTCATATTTCTACTAACTAATGCACCTGCATAAAGAATATCTGCTCTGGTACAAGTCAGGTAGCTCAGACTTCCCACAAGGCTTCTAAACTCAGTCGAGTTAACCTTCTCTCCTTTGCCATCCTTGGATAATTTCAGTATGACATAGTTGGCATCTTCCACAAGAATGAAAATGTGTTGTTATGTAGTCTAGCAAGAGCCTGCATAATAGTTGACCTTGTTGTCGATCCACAAGACCCTTCACCACACTCCAATCGACACAACTTCAC